AGCCAAAGAAACCATGCTGACGCTTTACAACAAAATCTGGACGACCAGTCTTGCACCAAACCAATGGAAAGTTGACATAGTAATACCAGCTCTAAAAAAGGGCAAAGACCCTTGCAACTTTGACAACTATAGGCCTATCTCCCTCACAAGCGTGCTGGTTAAACTTATGGAAAGAACGGTTAACAGGAGGCTGACCTGGTTTCTTGAGACTAACGATATTCTTAGGAGTGAACAAGCAGGTTTTAGGCCACAAAGATCAACAAATCAACAAGTAGCCACTTTCTCCCAACACATTAAAGATGCCCTTGATGCAAGAAATACCCTTACGGCTGTTTTCGTAGACTTCAAATCAGCATATGACTTAGTATGGAAAGAGAAGCTAATTCTAAAATTAGCAAAGATTGGTATTAAGCATAACATGCTAAATTGGACAAAAGCATTCATTGGACAAAGATCGTGTAAAGTCAGATATGGAAATGCTCTATCAAAATCCAATCTTTTACAACCAGGTCTTCCACAGGGAGCTGTCACAAGCTGCACTCTTTTCAATGCCTTCATCAATGACATAGCCGAATTGGTACAGACAGTGGCGGGCATCAAGTGCTTACTTTACGCAAATGATCTGGTACTATGGTATTCCGCCCCCAAGAAAAACGCTCAGGAGAGGACAGAAAGTGCCCTAAATTGTGCACTTAAACTACTAGCAAACTGGTGCGACAACAATGGAATGGTAATCAACACTGCAAAAACTGCATTCCAAACTTTTTCTTTGGCCCATCACAGCATAAACCCGATTCTAAGGTACAAGGATACTACCATAGAAAAAACCAATGAGTTCACATATCTCGGAATGACTTTTGACACAAAGCTAACGTGGAAAAGTCACATAGCTAAAATAGCAGAACGAGTCNGCATAACATGCTAAATTGGACAAAAGCATTCATTGGACAAAGATCGTGTAAAGTCAGATATGGAAATGCTCTATCAAAATCCAATCTTTTGCAAACAGGCCTTCCACAGGGAGCTGTCACAAGCTGCACTCTTTTCAATGTCTTCATCAATGACATAGCCGAATTGGTACAGACAGTGGCGGGCATCAAGTGCTTACTTTACGCAAATGATCTGGTACTATGGTATTCCGCCCCCAAGAAAAACGCTCAGGAGAGGACAGAAAGTGCCCTAAATTGTGCACTTAAACTACTAGCAAACTGGTGCGACAACAATGGAATGGTAATCAACACTGCAAAAACTGCATTCCAAACTTTTTCTTTGGCCCATCACAGCATAAACCCGATTCTAAGGTACAAGGATACTACCATAGAAAAAACCAATGAGTTCACATATCTCGGAATGACTTTTGACACAAAGCTAACGTGGAAAAGTCACATAGCTAAAATAGCAGAACGAGTCTCCAACAGACTAAATGTACTGAAGCGTCTTGATGGTAGCGTATGGGGCTGTGCGCGCTCAACTCTAAACACCACTTACAAGATGTTTATTCAGCCAATAATGTTGTATTGCTGTGAGCCACTCATTACAGCCACAGAGGTGACTCTCAAACCACTCGAGAAGGCACACAACCAAGCATTACGACTAATTACTGGAGGGATAAAATCAACACCCATTGATGCAATGCTCCTAGTTACAGGAAGCACCACAATAGGTTCCCTTATCAAAGAAAAGACCTTGATCCTGTACGAGAAGCTACTGTGCATTCCCATGGACAAGTTCTTCAGCACCTATGAGAATAGACCAAGACACCTGAAAACGCAATCTGGTCTAATACAGAAAGCCATAGAACTGAAGAAAGCATTACAAATCGATGACAAACCAAAAAGCCTCTCTCCCCCCCATGAACCCATTAGCATACATTGGTGTAGTTGACACACTTGCTAAGAAGGGGACAACGATTTTGCAATACATGGACCGACCGATGTCTTTCCACACAATGAAGGCCTTAATCAGAAGAGAATTCCAGACCTCAAGGTGCAACGAAATTAAAGCCCGAACAAAGGAGAAACAGTGGACAGTGGCACTCTCCGACATACCCGACTGGCCAAGAATCGAAGCCGTTGCTGAGTTTAGACTACGTACCGGACACGATTGCTTGGCAAAACACCTTCACAGATTGGGAGTATACATTCAACCCACATGCCCTCTATGTAACCTACAGGAGGAAATGGATAAGACCCACCTGATTCGGTGTCCAGCCTTAAAGACAAGTACGGAAAGCCAAAGATACTGGGAAGCAAGAAGACAGCTAATGAATTGCTATTAATTAACTGTTATAAATGTACCCCCCCCCCTTCTTGGGGGAAGCTGAAGTCAAAGATTAAGGGCTAATGATAAATATCATAAAGCCTGCCATTTGAAATAAATAAATAAATATCACTTGTTTCTTACAAATCCGATTTTCTCCGTTCATTTCCATGCCCCTTCACTTTCTTTCCAACTCCTTCCTGTACTCTCATTCATTTCCATTTTTTTCGTTACACTTTTATCCTACCCAACTTTTTTGTTTTTCACACAAAGGACCGTTTCTCCTGTTATTCTATGAGAGGATGCTCAGCTACAATTAATCGTGTGCTTAAAGCATTTTCACTATCAGATTTGGACCTATATTAGGAGCACTAGCAGCAGCTTACTTGGGAAGAAAATGCTCTGGATGCGGAACTTCACTCCAAGTCACTAGATTTGAATATCAGTCTCGTCATACTTGACCTAGCAGACCTATGTATTAAACGGTCCGTCACTGCCGCAGCTTTTCACTAAAACATTCTGGTGACTCCTCTGCAAGTTAGCCGGATTTAACTAATGCAACTGACCACCCTCTTCACTAAATATGCATCGGGTATAGTTGAGCCGTACACTTACTATTGAAGAGCAAACACATTAGGAAGATGTTAAGTTGTAAATCCGAAGTTGTTATAATGATTTCCTGTCTTAGATTGCTAAAAGTCGCAAATATTTGAATGGGACCAGCCGTAACTTTACCATTTGGCACCTAACCTCACACAATACCTTGACAACTGCGGCTAATCCATGGCTAATTAAAGCCTTAAAATGCGCATTGATCTGGCACAAATCTTATCTCCTAAATATTGAGCTCCACTAAGTTCTACGATGTTTACCTTACGGAGCTTCATCTCTGGTCTACCTTGGTATAACTCATCACCAAGTCTCAGCATCGCCTTAATTTCGTAATATCGCAAGTAAAATTATTTATTGTACAAAATAGTAATATTTACAAATAATGACGTGTGGAGAGGAGAAATTACTGGTCATCAAGCGAAAACGTCCAATCCATACTTTCAACATATTGTTGGTAGAGTCGATGAAGGATATTACTCATTTCTTCAACTCTTCCCTCCGCCTCAACACGCTAAAATATGATCAGACAATACACAAGTGAAACGAGAAAGGGAGAAAGTATAGCAAAAAATAACACAAATGTACCTCCCCATTGTTGTATTCCGTTTCACATTGCGCCTTCCTTGTAGCTGAAAGTGACATCATTGTAGAGAGATCCGAATTAAGGGACTCACAAACATTACAATATTTGTCTAGTATGTTATTCTTTTCTTTTTTAACGTGTTCATCGTTCTAAAAGAGAACAGAGGTTGGTAAAGGGAAGAGATTAATACTCAATCGGAGTAAGGGAAGGCTTAGAAAACACACCGCTGTTTGAGTAGCATCTACAACCCTCTCTTTCACTAGCTTGTGTTCAGATAGACGCAAAGTATCTGTCAGGTCAGCAAGCTTCTTGGTTAGCTCCTCTCGTTCAGCAGCATGATCGATGATGTCACCATCACATTTCTACAAAAAAGGAAAATGTAGGGAAAGTTTATTTATAATGTTATAAAGCCGAGATTTTGCCCATATTACAAAGGTTTCCACTAACGTGTCAAGGTTCGATTAAATCCAAAAAGCATGTGAGATTATTCCAAAATAGTGTAGCAATCGGAGAGACAAATTAAGTTCACAATGAGGCTAATTGAGTAAGACTGACCGCATGCTGTCCCAACGCGTTCATCTAGACAGTGGCAACTGGTACATCTTTTGTGCATGATCCCAAAGATATAACATTATGGAACATGAGTTCCTTATAAAATTACATGCCAGATACTTGCCATCTACTCTAATTGATTGCTGTCTGGGATCCCCCAAAGTCAATTGGGTGGTAGAAGTCAAATGTAATGAAATATTATACCAATTTGAAATATTAATGAAATGCATATATAGAGGATCAATTTGAGATAAGCTGGCAATTTGAAGAGGTTGAAAATCGGGAAGAGTTAGGCTCTGTTAATTACCCAAAACATAAACCTAATATTGATAAGCTCATGATAACACTCACGGTAAAATATAAATTTCAGCACACATTTTGATAAAAGTAGACAATTATCTCAACCCTTAGTTTACGACCTTCTGTATATTACTGCTAGGCAATAAAATACGCAAAAAATACAAAAATGAAAATGAGAAAAGCAGTTTACCGTGAAATCGAACTTTGATTGAGAAATTTGCTGAAGATACGAATGACACTCCTTGCAGACAGAAATAAGTTGGCGTTCAATCACTTCATGCAACTGTTTATACTGGCTAATATCACGGTCAATTTGATAAATTTTGGACCGACTCTCTTGCATCTCTAGTTCCAGAGCATTTGCCTTTTCCTGCAATTCTTGCATGGTTTGAGGCAAATTTGGATTGCTAATCACTTTAACTCTCAAATTTTCCTCCTTGCATTTTAACTCTTCGAGACGAGACACCATATCATCCACCTATGAGGATAGAGAAGCAAAATAGTGAATAAACTGATAACACTTTTCGTTGGTGAATGCTTTCAGAGTATACCTCTTGCGAATTCGTTTTTTCCATTTCTAAGAGATGGTGCAATTTCTTCGATTCCACAGCCTCTTCTTCGTCCATTTTGGTCTTTTTAGAATACAATTCAGACATGGCGTCCCTCAATTCGACAATTCGATCTTGATATTCTATGCGTTTTTCATCATCTGATTTGTTACTTATTTTTAAAGCGGCTATCTTTGAACGGAGTGTTGCCGCTTCTGAGTAACTGGCTTTGATTGATTTCAAGTGCTAATAAAAATAATAAAAAATAGTCAGAATTCTCACTTCAAAGAAAATATTCTGAGCGGGCTGTAGAGTTTCGACAAACTGAAACAGCCATGAAAGTATGCGAGAAACCTTTTTCGCATCCCTCTGAATTTCGAAATCCGAATTTGAAAAGGCCTCGGGATAATTCATTTCGGCGAAAAGTCCTGTTAGATTACTAAAATAAGGCACTTTATCCAATGGATTCAAAGAGATCGCAAAGAATTCTAAGAAAAATTGGCTTAATAGTCCGTCAACTTTAGCACCTAAGAAAATTACACTTAAAAGTAATAAAAGCACCATCAGACAGGTCTGAAACCCTGACTTTTTCGCCTGTATATTGAAAGATCCTGGAGGAAATACCATTGAAGTTTAGAACGGGAAACTCTGCTAACAGTTAATAAGTAAAATTTAGCTTACGGAAAGCTCCAACATCCATCTGCAACAAAACGATTTGTCAAAATTCCGCGCCCTTCACAAACGGAACATATTGTATGTAAATAAAGGTCAGTACAATCAGAACAGCGGGAAGATATACTTAAATCGATTTAAATTTAGAATAGTGTATTTTACTTTTATTCTGCACATGTCTTTACTTTAAAATTTTATTTTCTTTAAACTTGCTGAGATAGAACTTGTATACGTATTTTTCACATAGTAAATAATTCTCCATTGAAATTTTATCTTTTTATATTTATTAAGCTCATGAATAAAAGTTATTTTGTTCATAAATGTTTATATTACTTTTGGTATTACTATTTAACTGTCACGCTTGTATACTGCAGCTATTGTTGTCGAATTGGTCAAGCAAAAATCGAATAAATTGTTCGAAAATAAATTAATCGAATTTGCCTATTAATATGTCAAAGAGGAAGAATTTATCAGATGGAGATTTATGTTTTGTTGATCATGTCGTAAATTTCACCAAATTTAAAATAGTGATTAATATTAAGGTGCATTTAAATTGAAAGTAATAAGAGTTCTAAAAATATAATATGGGATAACTATTAATTTGAAAGGTTAACACCTGAAGTTTGTAGCGGACTTCTACACTGGTAAATCTTAGACCGACTCAGAAATCTCTCTCTGGCATCATCTCCTATATCAGACTAGACTTCCTTAACTAGCTATGCTACTCCGAGCAGATGGAACCGACGTAAAGCACAGAAAACCTTTATTGTAAATTATGATATCTGCAACTGTCAATAATTATCAAATAATTCTAACATACTTTGAGTGAACATTAGTAGCTAAATATCTGATCAGAGCTCTAGGTGTACGGCCGCACACTTCAAATTCTGACGCGTCCCGCAAGTTTCACAAATTCATGAAAGCGATTATTTTTGGTAAGTGAACAAAAGTACGCAAATTTTCTTTGAAACTGTAACTAGAACACTCATTCGAGACTGTTGAGCTGAGGCAAAAATTGGACTTTAACCTCGTTGATTGGAAAAAAACATGAATGTTGTGAATGTTTCAAGCAATATCATCTTGTCGACTCCTTTGTACATTTGAATAATTTTCCACAAAATGACTTAATGTTATAGAAGGTTTTTAAAAGATCCGATATCGAAAATGTTCTCACAAAGGAATTCATAAATTACAAATCATATAAGCGGAGCTTGCACATATATCTTTGTAGTCAAATTAACCATTCAAAAATCCATCGCTTGCCATGTTCTCACTACTACGTGCGTCCTTTCAAGCTCAATACGCTGCATGCGATCACCTACTTCAATTTTCGTACTTAATTCGTGCAATCAAATCTATCAAGGTTGAGATAAAACACATCCTCTTCCTCCCTTCCCCTCCTCATCCATCATCTTTAACCAGTCACTCATTAAACACTTACTTATCTCAATCTGTTTAATATACACATATTTAAATATAGATTTTGATCTTCTCATAAGGCAAGGGCTATTACATTGCATCAGACTTTGAGAGGCCTTTTATTTTAGGCTGAGTATTTTGAAGCCATGTTTGTTTTAACTCTAGTATTACTGGCAAAGTAAGATGCGTTATACTAGCAAGTCAGAAGTCTCCTCCACTTGATAAGGTAATTAATGTTTCTAATAATGAAACGTGCGCACGCAAAATAGATCACCTGAAACATCTAAATAAAAGATCAAGACGAATAAGAGAAAAATGAAGATATGGCATAAGAAATTATGAGACAGATTTATGATCCGATTCCATCACATATCTACTTACAAATTTATTGTCATTGAATACAAATATTGATGATTTGCGATGAATATTTTTTGCCGTTAAGATGGCTTAACTAGGGTAATTTCAGGAACACCAACTGAATATTCGTAATTTTCTACTCCAGTTAATCGTTGTTGTTTTAAGTTACAATCAAAGTTTGATTGAATTAAAAATATTTCTTAGCTTACAACTCGCACCTAAATATAGAGTTGCTTTATTTGCAAAGAGAAAATATCCTTTGGAATCCAAAGGATATGTATTTTCAACTCAACGAAAGACTCAAAATTTATTAGAGGTCAAAATACTTTTTTAGGTGAGGTATTTTGACGTTTTAGTAGTGCCGAGTTAGATTATTTCATCAAAAAATATCCGCAATAATAATTGTACAATAATACATGAGAAATGCAGCACGAAGTGTAGCGAATTAGAATTTAAAATAAATAACGAGAACGATAGATAGAGATAACAATCATTTGCTTACATATTAAATATAACTTTAAGTATCTGTGCACAGTTACTTTGAAGGAAATTCAAGTGTGAATATGCTTCCATAAGGAAATAACGTGATATAGAACGAATGAGATTGACCTATGAATATTTCCAAACAGGTACATGTAAACTATTTAACACCGACAAAAATTACTAAAATTTAAAGTCGAAAACTCAACAGATTTAGAGAATTTATAAAGTTGCTATTTTCAAAATAATATTATACCAAATATAGATACAAATTTTATCAAAAAAGTTAATGATAATTGAAAAAACACGTCTCTCAATATTGCGGTGCAAACCCGCTTTGAGACTTAAAGGAAGTTAAATAAAGTTCTAAAAATATGATTACATATGTCACTTTACTATTAAATCAAAATGAAAATATTCAAGTGAATCACATTGTAAATGGCCAAATATTAAAATCCTACTATATTGTCAATATAAGTCACAATAGAATTGGAATTCTTAAAAACTCTAAAAAAACTCAATTTATTGGCAACAGAATTTTAATTTTAAAGTATAAGTTCATCTGAAGTCTTTTAATGCATTTTCGTTTACTGGTTTTCTCCGGCTACAGTATCCTTGGTTTAAGTATTAATTGGTTTGCAATTTATTGAGGCGCATTGTTCGTAATAGTTTCGATCCCTCTAGGCGTGCTTTTGGGCACGTTATAGGTCATTGGAGTGGAGTTTCTGATTCTGTGTAATAAATAGAATTACAACCGGTTTATTGTTAAAATTGCTTGGAGGATAGTATAAAATTTGTATCAATGTCGCAGAAAGGAGGATCACAAGGTGCGCAGGATAATTCCGCAGGAAAACCGGAAACTAGGTTTGTGACAATTTTCATTTATTATTGTTAGTCATGGCAGCTCATCAACTGGCAATAGCAAACGCGATTGTCCTTGGTCTCATAGTGCTAATGCAACTGTTTCTAATGAAATCAAATCAAATGTTCTCGATAATGACTGGCCGTCTTTACAGGTTTTAAATGATGGAAATGCTGCGCCTTTAACTAATGGTGGTAAACCAACTGCAAAGGTTAAGCCTACTGTATGTCCATATTTGATTATACTCATGAATTCTTAGAATCCTAATTCCCAAGCCATAACCACTGAAACTAACGAAACTAGGCGTCCGAGTTTTACTCGTCAAAAAAATAGATGGACCCCAGTTACCTTAGATTATACGTATTCTAAGGAAAATACTGGAGATCGCAAGATTGATGTCGATGGTAAAAATTCAAGAAATAGGGAAGCAACAACATCCCGCAATGTTGAGACTGAAACTGCAGGTACTTCTACGAATTCAAAATCTCGAAATTACATTCGTACTCCCAGAAATCGAAGAGTTGCTAGAGGTGGAGGAGTTGTGAGTCATTTGATTACTTAATGCCTTCTTTTATTCTTGAATCGCCATATTGGTTTTTGATATAGGCTCGACGTCCTGTGACGACAAATTTAACTACTGCTAGTGTTTCCACTGAACAACCTTCTTCGGCAAAGTCTTATCCGAATGGACCGACTCGAAAGAATGAAAGAGCTTACAGGAATCAACCTTCACTTGTTCCTGTTACTCCATTTTTGCCATATGCCGTACCTACACAGTCTGCTGCACAGCCACCACCTGCATCTCGTTAGTCTTGTTCGATTGCTAGGTCTTTTTATTTTAAAAATCCAGCCCTTTTTTGTTAAGTGTCAATGCATGAAATACTAGTCCTATTAGCATTGTACTTACCTTTTAAGTCTTGTGTTAGTGAGGAAAATTTTTGTCGACACGTGGCGTGCAATGTGTAGCCATTTCCGGTTTCTTATTAATCATAGTATCGATACTTTGGTTTTTTAAATTTCAATGAAATTTTCATTTTGGAGAATTGAATTCGGTATCACTAGTGTCTCACGGCTTTTAATGTTACTTAAAATAAATTATCTCGCGCCTTTCGTCTACACACTAAATAACATTTTTACCCTTCAGGGAAATTTAATTTAATTTGTTCAATTACCATTTCTTTATAATCTCCTGATTCATTTTGATGTCTTGTCTAACACTGTTCTCTTGTAAAATCAATCATTTTTACGGTGTTTGCCGCGTGTGGAGATTTGTAATCTGTTAAGGGAAGTAGAACTGGTGTCTGAATATTTACGCTAGCATTGTAAAGTTAGTTACGTTTAATCGAAAAAGTTATTCGCTGCAAAACATGCCCGATATGAAACGGGCTAGTTTTTAGTAGAATTAAATGTAACTGCAATATTGAGGAATGATTTTCTAGATTTTTCTACACTTGATCTTTTAGCGATTTAGATTCAATCAAGCCGACCAGTATTCTTAATCTTTGTTATTATAGATTAGTAATAGTAGCGTAGTTAACAAAGTTTATGAGAACCTGGCCGCCAAGATGTATCCGACATGACTGTCCGTACTGATTGGATAATGTAGGGATCAGTCCCTGAAATGCTCTGTCATAATGTACGTATTACGTATATTCATTTCAAATAATCACCAATAAATTTAATCGATTCCCCACTTCTCCATTTGGCTATGCTGTCCCTCTTTTTGTTCATTTTTTCATATATAGCTATTGATTTATTTACTTTGTCTCTACTAATTATATGATTTGAAAAATCTAATTCAGTGTTTAATATTTTTAGAATTTGGATATCCAGTGGTGATGATTTACACTAATCCCGAAAATTATATGGGTCTTGATACAAGTGTGCCATTTCTTCATCCACCTGCATCCGCACCCACATCCAGTACTGCTGCTGGAGCCTCGGTGGAGTCAGTAGATCAATCCACAGTTTACCTTCACAATAATCCACAACAGCAGTCACAAAGCACAGGTAGCTTACCTGGTTGGTCCTACCCACGAACTATAGATGCTGCCAAAGCGAACGAGGCGGCTTCAACAATTTCAGTTGGTCCCAGTTCTGCCCCGCTCTTTATGCGACCCCACAGCGTCTTTCAATTCAATCCACCATTGATGTCCCCCCCAGCCCATCCTCTTGGTGTTACTGCCGCCACTGACTTGCCCACTGCAATTCAAAATCAAGTGGATTTCTATTTCAGCGGTGATAATCTTGCTCGTGACACATTCCTGCGCAAACACATGGACAAAGATGGTTGGGTTGATCTCTCTGTTATTGCCAACTTCAATCGTATGCGAAATCTCACTAATGATTTGGACTACATTGTCACTGTAAGTGCATACGTACACATCTCTGCACTTTCCTGCCGTTTATATCTTTTTCTGTTCCTTCAGTCTCTTGCAACAAGCAAAGTGGTAGAAGTTGACGCTGAGCAGAAGCGGGTTAGGTGTCGAGAGAACCCAACTATTTGGATAATTCAGAGCGCTCTGGCTGCTAGAGCATCAATAGAATTGGCAGGCGACGATGAGCGAAAGGAATCGGCAATTGAAAAGACCGCAGCAAAGCCCAATCCAGAGGCTCTCGAGTTCATTCCCACTGATGGTGAGCATGTTATGTCTCTTGTTGCTATACTTGGCACGCCAGTTTGCTTATGGGTGTGGAGACATCAATAATGAATATGTGGCGGGTAGGGGGGGGGGCGGCGGAGTAAGCCTAGATAAGCAATGTGCACGCTGGTTAAACACATGCGTGTCAATGTGTCTGTACAATAGCAATGTAGTGTATTTTTCAACTAGGTCTACATGTAAACGTGCCAATTATGATGTGGTGCAGGTGGTTGCCAGGAATATCCTTTCATCTCTAGAATTAAGGCTTTCTGCGAATATGAAAGAAAATCGCATTATAATGAAGCCCTTCCAGTCGATGTAAGCACTTAAACCTATTTCATTTACAGAAGGCGATCCACATGAACAAAAGGCGAGTGCTTCTGGTGATACTAAGCCGCAGCAGAAGAAAAATGAATTTGAACAACAGGCGGAAACTCACGCTGCAAAGTCAAGTGATCAGGTAAAGTACTTTCAAATCGCTGCCTTTTTGCCTCTGTGCTCTTATACTGTTATTCTTCTCTATTCAGAAGTCTGATAATGAGAATGACTTGGATGACGATATGTTGGCAAGTCTTTTCATTGTCGCTTCGGAAAGGTCGTCCTTGCCAACTGCTCTACCTCACAGACGTCGTACGCGTCAGCTTTCACTGAGTGATCCATTGTAAGCTGAACAACCTTCTTCTGTATTGTGCTTTATTTCCTGTTTATGATTACCTGATTTTTGTTCTACCTGCGATTAGACCCGAGGAGGGCGTGATTAAAGATGTTGATGATCAACTCCGTAAACTCGCTTTGGATTATGGTGGTTCTGATCAGGTGGAGTCAATTGAAAATGAAACAACACCACAAGTAAGTGAATTTTCATTTTCTTTACTTGTTCATACGTGTTATACATTTTGCATCTTGACCTTGTATGTCCACAATTCCCGGTAATTTTTGTGATTTCATTTCTAATAACTTGGGGCATATTTTCGTGTTTTGAGACTTATAACACACATATTCATAATAATGGGATTAAATTTTTTGTTGTACCATTTGTATTTGTAAATGTGACCTTGTTCAGGCTAATTGAAAATTATGAATAAAATAATATAATAATCTTTTTGTGGTAAAGGAAAAGGAACTCGCATGTCTTATGAGTTTCTTTTCAAAATTTATATGATCAGTTTCCTAAACTACTTGGAGCTCTGTGGCTTTTCTCCTATCTGGTCAAAAATTGTTTTCCAAGCTCCTTAACGGAATTATCTTTAGCGACGTTCATTTTACCTCTGGGGGGAGGGGGGGCTGTTGTGATTCTGGTCAAGTGGGGTCATTAAGACAGTTATTTCTAACCAATGTGGCTATTTTAGGAATTTTGTTTGCTAACATTGGCAGTTAATAGTTTCTGCTCACACCACTTTCATAATCTCAACTATTTATTGAACAGTTGAAACGTAGTAATTAGAACACACACATATATATTTTAATTCTTGAATGTGTACGATAAATTATATTAGCTATTCATAGATCGATTTTATGAACATTTTTTTTTATATTTTGGAATGCTTCTCACCACTAGCAACGCTACATTTGTTCAAACGAGAGATGAAGTCAGTAAAGATTACATGTTAGGATACCTGTATTCTGAATTCACTTTACTGCCTATTTTTTTACTAATTAGCATCGAGGCTCGTAACGCATGATTTTACATCTAGACTCTGGAATGATTCGAAAGACTAGTTTCAACATTGTATTTTACCTTTCTATTAACAGGGCCAAATAAACCTCTTGAGTTAATTTTCGTCAGTCTCAACTTATCCAGTAAATAGAAGGGTACAATCGGTTCACAAATGAAACAAGTTGTTTGGCTAGAGATTGCAGTATCTTCTCAGTATGCCAATTAAAGATCGCCTTTTGCTATTAAGTGTACATAAAATGTCCATTTCATGCACATCACGTAGGTTCCAGTCACGATTAGCGCACCTGTCGCTGCTATGGATACATCATCAACGGGTCAGCAGCAGTCCTTCATACCTGCTGTACCCTCGGTCCCCCCCTTTTTTAACTTCATGCCGCCTATGGTGGGACCAACTACTGGTCCTGGCCTTATTCCTCCATCTGCGGGTGCCTCCCCATCACTTCTGGGCCAGATACCAAATGCGGCACCGATGCTTCCTCAAGGAGCAACACTACTTCCCGCTGTCCTTGCCTACCCTACGGCCTTCCTTGCCCCTCCAAACAATCAACAACAAAGTGCATGCGGCGGCGCCCCAACCAGGGGCCCTAGAATACCCCAACCGAATGCCCCCATGATCTATCCATGTGAGTTTATCCCCTCCCTTTAGCATTATTACCTCGCAAGGAAAGACTCCTATGTTTTTGTTGTGCTTTGAAGCCTGACCACTTGATATCGCTAGGTTGCAGTTGATTCATATCGGGTGATGAAGAAGTGAATTTTTTCCAAGACCGCTGATTTAATGCAGATAAATCATACTTAATGTTTTTGTGCCGAATAACTCACGATTTTAGGACTTATTGTTAAAGAAAATGGGTATCCGCCAAATTAACTGTTAATTTTTTACACCCCGAAAGGAGCATGTGCTCTGCATCTTTGAACTTCAAATCTTTTTTAGTGCTTGAATATTTGAAACAGGTGATATTCCTCCTTTTTAAATATTGTATTATTTTTCATTATATGGAATTGACATAAAGATGATTTACAAGTTTTATTTTTATTCAATATCGATTTAATCTGTTTTACTGAGTCAATTCCTTGTTCAAACTTGGACTAATTTTCAAGAAAATCCACAACCAGAATATGAAAAGTTTTGAATACACTTGACTGTAGGAATACAGAAGTGTTATGTTTCTCTTTTAAGAAACTCATATTTCTATTCTTATTGAGTAGAAATTGCCACTGTGGTTGATCATTTATATCACTATGGTTGAGCGGTAAACATTGATCTGATGGTGTCTGATTTCAGAGACTGACCCCTTCACTATTGCCACACAACCAAGCATCATTTCCTTTACTCCATTGGAGGTTTTAAGGTAGGTATTATAGATTTGGATGTAACTAAACGTATGCTGTATAACGTTTTTTGAGTTACTTTATGCATAGGCATCAATTATTCAAATACTCCTTTTCTTTCGTGCTGGTTGGTGGATATACCGATCTTTCATGTTTTCGTTCTCCATCGCTTATGCTTTTCACTTTCAGATTCAAACTTTAATGGTTCCTTTAACCCCAAATGCACTATTAAGTTCTGTGGTGGAATAGAACTAGCAGTTTATGTTAACGCAGTTATGCAGATTTGTGGCTAATTTGGTGTTATTCATATTTTATATTTTGAATATCTTTATAACCTCCTTAAGTTCGTTTTAACGATTGAATTTGATTGATGTTCTTAGATGTACTCAAGTGATTTCTTGAAAATCAACTTTCTCCTTCTGTGGGAAATATAAAGTTTAATTACTGAGTGCCTCCTTGGTTTTCATGCCTTCAATTGTCTCTCAAGTCTATGAGAGAGTGTTGCTTGGTAATCCTTCAGTATCTAACTAAGGATTTTGCTTTGAGTACGTGAATAGCTTTAGGTCATCCAAAATTGCGCATTGTTAGTATCGGAATTCTTATGACCTTGGTGATATGCTAATAGTTTCCTCAGTATTGCTTCTCCTTTTTAAATAAAATCAGTATATGCTTAGAGCTATTGGATCATCCTCCTTTGCTTTCTCCTCTAATGTACTTTCTATCAGCAACCAGAGTGCTATGACGCTCAAGACCTTACTAAAATTCTTTGTTATAAAATATGGACTGCTTGTTTTTTGTATTTGAGTTATTTTTTGTTTAGCATTGCATTGAGAGAACGAATGATTTAATGTCGCAATTACGCCTTAAATAAGAAGCTTTATCACTAATGTGCTTGTCATTTTGCGTCCTGTATGATCTCTTAATATTGTTGAGTGTGTGGCCGGATTTAGTTTCCTTGTCAGAACGTTTGAAACACATGGGCTTGCATGTTTGAAATCGCATTGATGTCGCTTACTTGGTGTCTATTACTTTGTGTTGTGTCTTTGAAAGTTAACTGATTTCTTATCTCCCCAAAAGTTGGAATTTATTTGATCAATGTATACCTGGTAATATTTCCCCTGAGACACTTGTCTTAGATCAATTAAAGTTAGTCTCCAAACTTTTGTAATATTGTTATTTTTCTCTTCTTTTTTACTATGCGCACATGATTAACTTCGAAAATGAGCTTATCTGTTATGGGTCTCATTGTACATCTTTGTATCTTACAAAATTTTAGTAAAAAACTTATTAAGGTGCGTTCCTCTTATTATGAGTGATAACACCAGTCCCACTGTGGACTATCCAGTTGGCATTAAGAAGCCTCGATCGAGTTAATTTAAAATATTTATTTATTTCAAATGGCAGGAGTTTTGATATCTATCATTAGCCCTTTAGTTGACTTCGGGCTTCACAGAGGGAAGGGTCATCAAAGTAACAGAAAGTCGAGGAAGGGGAGCAGAAGAGCGATTCACAGATGTAAAAGAGGCAGACAGACACAAAGGTAGAGAAAAAGGCAAGATGAGTGCTGTGGAAGGGGTTGGATATGACAAGCAGTCGGGCTATGGTAGTTTGAAGTCAGAAGTCAACTGCCGGTTAATAGACTTTTTTGCCGTATGAGTATTCGTGGAGGTAAGTCTATCGCACACTCCAATTTAAAATATAAGGATGGACCAATTTTACATTAACCAAATCCCATATTAAATTTTCTCTCAGCTCAATGGACTTGTGTGCCATCGATGATGCCAACAGGAGCTTGCGGTGCCTTTTTAGGTACTTCTGTTG